TGAACTTGCCCTTGAAACTGGGGAAAATTCATGAAAATTCAGGTTTATAGACATTGCCACATTGCTCCATTCTTTATATATCGTTTGTCAAAAAGTGCTATTCCGACTGATATTCTACTGCTGTGCCACTTCTAGACACGGAAGGAAGCACACAAAAGCCAAATGCAACATGATGCAAACAGGCACATGTTTTCTGCTGTGCATGCGGAATCAAATCGCACGAAACAACACCAGATATCAACAGTTGAACATTTGCTGAGACTGCTGGAACTAACTTTGCTGGAACTCTGAAGGGAAACGGTACTTCTTTGGAAGGTCGCCAGTATGTTGGATAGGTTGGGGTCAATGGGCAGCATAGTTTCCACAGTTTCCAAATACAGGTTGTGCTCACACACAATCAATATGAATCAATACATATCCTGCACATTACAAGCGTTTGCTTGTCCCATTTGTCCCCACTGTTGCAGTGCACCGGCGGCATCGCCAACTCCCGTGGTGCGATCCTCAGCTGTTTTCAGAATGTCCAAGAGTCCAACATGTCATTCACCCAGGACACGCTGGATCCATTGGCCTCCGGAACTAGCTCGGCCTCCCAAGGCACGATGGATTCTTGGCACATCTTGGCACAAAATCCACCGAAATCCACCGAAATCAATGAATTTGATTCAATTTGATTCAATTTGATTCAATTTGGCTATCCACATCTATCCACCGTTAATTTTCGCAGGCCTTTTGGGCATCTCTCTGGATGCACCGCCTGCGCCCTCTGCAGCATCTGCAGCATCTGCAGCATCTGGGCCTGCGCCAGCTCCAACGCCAGCTGTCACAGCGGCCGGAGCGAAGACAGGCGTGGCATCTCGTCGCCTTTTTTTGGTCGTCTTCGGAAGATAGGGGAAGTAATTAACATAATTCACGAAATAATTCACCCCTCAATACCTCTCATTTTGCTGTAAATTACTTTATAGATTTTATAGATTCAGCTTACTCAAGAATCTCAAGATCAAATAAATTTAATGATCTGCCTCTGCAGGTACTTTGGGGGCTGGCGCAGTGCTGCCAAAGGAGCCAGATCCTGCTAAAAACGCCGACACTTTGAGAAGTCGAAGTCCAGACGGGGAATCACTAAGTCCAGACTCCAGACCATTCAACTCTTGGCTTGAGACATTTTGGCAAGTTTATGTGAACTTTGGAAAGTACGGGAAAGGACACCACATGAGCTGGAGCCGAATCTGCAGAAATTGCAGTCATGTGGATCATGCCTTATTTTCAAGCTTGGTTGGCTTGGCTTGCAACATTGGGATAAGCAGAGAGTTGACATATGTTGGCATGTCATCAAAGTCAGCGTTGAAGGACAGCGAGAAGGAAGACATCTTCGGTTTTGTTGGTGCGGAGATGTCAAAGGCGGCTGGGGCCAGATGGGTCTAGGCGGCTAGACAGGCTTGCAGCCCATGTGAAATGGACACCGAACTTGTTCTGGTTGGAACGACACGTGACATGAAGTTTGTGGCATCATTTTGCGATATTTCGCCAAGTTTCCAGTGTTTTTTTTGAACCAGCCTTTCAAATTGGTCCTCCACAGTCCGAGACTTTTATGCAGCTTTTTTCCTGGAATCAGCGGATCCTGACCTCATGAGGCCAACAAAAAATGAGATGGGGAGGCTGGAAACAGCTGGAAAACATGGTGCGTTTCAACATGGTTCAACTGAGTTCCAGCGAAAAGTCCAGTCAGTCGCTTCACTTTGCTCCTCACTGTAAGTCCCACGACCCACGCGTGCCTTGCACAACAGGTTGAGGCTGAGTTGCGGCGAACACTATTTCTCACTCTGCTGAGTTGCAAGTGAAATGAGAGTCACCGGCATACTTTACTGGGGGCGCAATGATCTTTAATGATGACAAATGTGCAAAGGTGTTTTTGCTGTTTGCTATGAAAAAAAGAAATGGAAACGGCAAGCTGACTTGGCCAAGCCGACCATTTCAAGCGATTGCAGATTGTGAGTTCAACGGTTGAACTTGGCAACCTGGTCCATGGTGAAGTTAGGGCCGTGGAGAGAGGCTTGGAATGGCTCAAAGGGTTTTTAAAGGGTCTGGTAAGGGTTGGGAACATTCCAGACACTCCAGTTCTTGATTCCAGATCTTCAGCAACGCTTTTCTCGTAGCGGCTAAAACACCTTTTGCTTTCAGTTGTTGTTCTTGGTAGATGAGAGCAGTTTCTCGACTATCTCTATTGATCCTATGAATCTAGGACATGCGCCTTCTAGAGGCTACCTAAAGTGATTTCATGTCAGGCTTCAGGCTTCCCGCTCTAAATGAGTATAGACAGAAAGAAGGCTTCGCACTGTTCGCACAACATACTGTCACACAGCTCGTTGTCATCGTGCACCCTACTTGTATCTTGAATGATCTTGACGTTTTCCCGAATTGCATCAGTTGAAAGACATCTCCGAAAAGCCATTTGTGCCTTTCAGCGGGTGCAAAGGTCCCCGCCCGAAAGACTACGATCCATCGACAGCAAATGAAAAAATCCAGCGTTGAATCGCTGCTTTCACTGCACTCCTCATTTGTTTCTTCCTTGGCTCCATGAGTCGCTAGTCTCCAATAGACATTTGCTAACTATTGCTATATAACTATTGTTAACTCATGTACCTCACGGAGATCAAACCCAGAGGAAACACGGAGACACTCTTTACATCCCTTTACCACAGATGTGAACTTGTGGCAGCTTTGGACCAAGTCCACTCGGAGAGGTCCTGTTGAGCCAATCGGGTAACAGCTGCGCAACAGGAGAGCTCATGGGTAGCTCCCTGGCAGGAGAGATGCCTCCAGAGGCTTTCCTGAGGCGCTGTCGACACGAAAGGGGCACGACGTAAATTCCTGTTTGGAAACTTTGACCATTAATTACTACAAAAGAAAAGTAATTAATAAGGTAAGAACTTGAAGAGAGTGCTGTGACTTCTTGAAGTTCTTTTTTTAGCGGATGGCTTTGATACTGACTGGGATTGAAAGCAAGTAGGGTCTTTGCAGAGAGTCCAGTTGAAGAACTGCTGTGCAAGTGCCAGTAACTGCTGCAGGACGTTGCTTTGGTGTTGAAAGGACCCAAGCTTCGCAGTCTTGACATGCGTGAGGCCAAGCCCCGTACATCGCATTGCGTCACATAGTGCTGCACCAAGCCGCATGCCCCGATTTTCCGCAAGGCACAGAGTTGCAACTTGTACAGTAGATATAGAGGAAATCAGACAATTCTGTGACGTGATGATTCTTTTTTTTCCTCCAGATATTTCATAGTACTCGAAAGCGTCTAGCGCCCCAAGCTGAAGAATTTCAGCCCGCATCGGGCCTTGCTCAAAAGGGCACGATGACATCCCCCTGCTTAGCAAAGCCTACCTCTCATTTCTATTCATTGTCATGTATCACTATCTCCAGATTTCGGAACTGTTCATGCTTTGCTCCTCATTGTGTAAAGGCAATCTGCCTCGAGCAAGTTTTCAGCCGATGCGATGGCGGTTGCAGGCTGCCGATCATGTTTTGAGTCTGATCCAAGTGCCGTTAGAAGCTCGAGAGCCGAAAGAACGAACTGTCGAACGAAAGTGTTTGCCTCTTCGGCTGTAGGGAAGTTTTGGGATAGAACGTCTATGAACGTTTTCAGTGTTGAGTATCCAAACCTGTCTCAGTTTGGCAGGAGCAATGGCCCTTGGAGTCACCGGAGGCTTTCAGGCGATTCTAGTGACTCAGTGGTGACTGCTACTGGTGCTACTGTCAGTGTGTGGAGAGCCTAAAATGGTCAACTTCCCGGGCCCTTTGATCCTTTTCTTTTGGCCCTGCCCAGTGTTCATGTTTGCTTGACATTAAAAGACTTGACAGGATGGAATTCAACAAAGCTGACATTCAGACCATTGCAGTTGTGTGATATTGTGTATCCGTGCTCTGAAGCTGGCAGGTGATAGGAAAGATAATGAAAGATCAACAGATAATAACAGATAGACTTAGAGCAGATACACGCTAGGTAACCTAGGTATGAAATATACAAAAACCAACCCCCCCAAAAAAACTAAATCAACCCAAGTAAACCCAAAAAAAAACCCTAAGATCTGAAACTTACCCCAAACAAACCCTAAACCAACCGTAAATAAACCCAAACTAACAGCCCCCAAAAAAGAGCAACCGGAAGTAACCCCTAAACAAACCTTTGAAACTTACGCTAGATAAACCCTAAACCAGCCCTAAATAGATCCTAAACCCACCCCGAATAGATCTTAAACCAAACCTAAATAAACCTTGAACCTACGTACTTGAACTAAAACCTAAACCAACCTTAAATGGATCCTACATAAATCTTAAACCACGCCTAAAGAAACCCTAAACCAACCCTAAATAAGCCCCAAACCGACCCTAAAGAAGCCCCAAACCAACCCTAAAGAACAAAACCGATCATTAAAGAACTAAACCAATCCGGAAATTGAGATGTTCGAACTTCAAAATGTTGCAATACCGTTGAAATGGCAGCTTCCAGCTCCAAAATGCTGCAAATTGCAAGGAAAACGGACCTCCGAAAACAATTCCGGACCCGTATGGACCCGTAGATAAATAGACATGTCTATTATAGACCTGCGAAGAGATTTTTTTTTAGATGCTTGATCATACCTGCAGTGCAGTATAGTGTTCGCATTTATGCACCTACTGAATACACATAGTTAATCATAGTTATAGTTTTGTGTAAATCCGAAGTTTTTTCGGTTTCTGACTTCCCTTCGGTGTTGCGGAGGCCTCCAGACGATCATGCCGGACCCGAGAGCTTCGCGCGCGCATCGCTCGTGCTATGTCTCCTATGTCTCCTGGCGACTATGGTGTGGCAGCTCAGTGGAAGTCCCCGAAGTCCCCGCTGTTCGCGGCTGAAGTCACCGAAGTCACCGAAGTCACCTGGTATCGAGGCTTACCACCAAAGCTCGCAGGGATGGCCGGTGCTCTGTCAGCTTTACCAAATGACCGCATGCGAATCTCGGCAACGGCAACATGTCGTTTTAACATGTTTTTACCTAGACTGACTAGACCTAGAATCTAGATCGATAATTGCTGTATTGAACTTTACTGCTTTAGGCTGGCCACAGATTTGCAGTATATATTGCAAATGCGAGTCAAGTCTACAACACCAGTCGAGTCAATTGTAGCTACTTTGATAGTATTTCCCCGTGTTTTTCCCGGTGTTGGAAAGCTTTGGACTGGAGTGCAACTTAAGATACAATTTTGCAAAATCTTCTCCTTGCAGTGTTTGAAAGACACTGAGGTCCTTTGTTCAGCTTCCGGATTTTAATCAAAACCCATCACGAAACTTGCCATGGAGAACTTGCGAAGTGAATTAAAATGATCCCTAGAGAACACTCAAATTGCGAGGATACCAGCAGCTCATGGCATTGGCTGGAAAGCTCAAACCTCAGCAATGGCAAGTCTTGTAGTTTGTTGCACCCATGAACCCGTGCAGCCCGTGCAGCCCGTGCACATACCGACTTTGACAGGCTGAAACCCATGGCCGACGATCTGAAAGTCCCAGAGAACAAGGTACCAGGATGCTTGAGCGTCGTTCATGCCAGCAACCTCAGTATGCAATATTCATGGAGTTGATTCTGTACATATCATGAAACAATTGGTTCAAGTTATATAAATAGGTTATGAGATGTCAAGAGTTGGCATTGTAGCATTGTCAGCATGGATTACTGGAGGAGGCACCATGGAACGGGTTGGAACGGGTTGGAATGGCATGTTCTGAGGTGCATGCTTCTTTGGAAGAGGACGGCACTGTAACGTTTCAAGGAGATTCCGATGCTTTGATCTCCAAAGGCAGGAGCCTTAGATAGCCTTAGAGCCAGCAAGACATAGCAAGACTCCCAAAAGACTCTGTCAGCGAGAAACCCCGCTTCAAAGAGTTGCGAATCTTGCAAGAACGAGATGTCAAAAACGTTCGGCCAAGGTTTGGTTGCCCTCCTGGTACTGTGTTTGAGCGGCTGCACTCCAGAAGAGATTGCTGGTGTTCAGCCAGAATTCATCAAGGCGAAGGGTGAGCCTTGAGAATAGTATGAAATAGTATCGTATGAATATGTATGAATATGACATAATATGACTATTATTGTGGCAGCAAGTTGTAGCAGCATAGCAAGTACTCGGCATTTTGTTGATTCATTTTCGGCTGGACAATCCACAGAGACGGGCACAATGACCGCGATCACTTTAGGAGAGAATCTCCAACTTGACGTAGGATTCACAGCAAAATGCTGGTCCTCTTGGATCTCTTGGACAGGCCTCTGGAATTTCAGCTTCCCTAACACCCGGGCGCAACAACGGATTCTTCAACATGCTACGGAGCCCAATTCATAGCCGCGCAAAGGTGATGTGATTCCAAACAACCTTTCGAACAGAGCCTCGCAATCACTTTCCATCACTCTCCTCTCAAATTCACAAAGAATCCCCAAAAAACATGTTCTTTCTGAGCAGGCATTGCTTTTGCCCCAAAAAAGTACAACTTTTCCTGCAGCATTCTTAAGCATTGCCAAGGTTCAAGTTGATGAACAAAAAGGTTGCACGGCTGAAAGCTGCCAAAGCTGCCGAATCTGGCGAATCTGGCGCCATGAAGGTCCGGAATGTCATGACATAGTCATGGCATGCTGGTTTTGGAGGGGTCTGAAAGGTCGGGAGATGTTGGGTGAAAACGGAGTTGCGGCCTCCATCGGGTTGATCAATGATCTCTTGTGATCTGTGTCCGACTGTGTCTCTCGCTCAACATAAGTGTTCCAGTGAGTGTTCCTTTGAACATTTTGATGCTTTTTGTCGCTTTTTGTTGATCATGTTTCAGTTCGCGCTTCAGTTTACTTCGTAGTTCCTCGATGTTCCTGGCCCTTTCCATCATGTTTCATACAATGTGAGGCCCCCAAGATATAAGTTGGTTTATAAGCCCCAGTAACTATAGTTATAAGTACCATAAACCATAGTTATTGAAGTTATAAACCAAGTTAGCTATCTAGGGGGCCCCACCTTGTATGTTCCATCGTTTTGGCGTCTAGGCCGGTGAAGACACGGAGACCGAGGAAACGCCGGAACTGCAGATCTACAACACGTCGGCTCCTTGGAGATCAACGAAACATACGAAACAGCTACAGCCTTACAGCAGCCTGACCTGCAGAACTTCGCAACTGAAACGCGATCAACTTCAGCACTTTTCACGAACTTGGAAAAACACACATACGGAATTATACAGTAATATTACAGTATATAGATGCTAACATGAATCAGTCACGTCACGTGAATCACAAACCATGAGACCAAAGAAATCCACTTACAATGCTTCGAATATCGAATGGCAATTTGGGAAGGCTCAGTCGAAGCAAGGAAGCGTTGGGAGCACAGAGGGCCGGCTGAGTGAAAGCCTGGCATATGCTGGCATTGAGCTGGATCAAGAAGAAGACCTAGTTATCAAAATGAATGAATCAACTATCAATATGCATAAACTATGAATAAAAAGATTTCCTTGCAAATTCTTGCAAAACATGCAGTCTTTCAATAGTTGTCTTGATTAGAACTAAACACATTAGACACATTGACACAAATCTCAAGTGTCTTTGCTTGGATTCCTTGGATTTCTTGAAGAAATTGCTGAATTTTTAGGTTTAAGACCTTAGAGCCTGGAAAGGTGAAGATGTATGTTTGTCCACGGCTGAGTTATCGAAGGCGATCATTGGAGAGATCCCCGAGATCCCCGAGATCCCCAGCTGTTTCGATCAAAAACCAAGGTGGCGTCACTGTCTACGATCTTTGCCATCTAGGCCATGAAGACTTCACACAGAGATATGGCACGAAATGGTGGACCCTGGTAGGCCGTTTCAGGACTGCGGTGAGGTTTGAAACTGGTGTTACAGTGGTTTGACATGTAGTCCATACTTGAATTCAACACAGAGATGAAACATTGCCAGCAAAGGTCAAAGAATGAGCCTCCTTCATTTGTGTGAAGTTGACTTGACACGCACTGCAACACAGCTATAGATGCACCTGCAAATGACAAGCCACAAGCAGCAATGGGAATGATGCGAGGCCACGCGCGCGTCATGGTGTTCTTTGATATTGTGGCGCGGTTTCTGAGGCAGGGTATTTTGTGTATTTCATTTGTTCGGAATTGCTCCAAGCATGAACAGAGTTGATTTATATGATTTGTAACACGTTGGTTTGGGAGCTGCAGACGGCTCTTGGACCCAAGGCATTTGGGCTACGATGTCACTTTTGTCCGCAATGTGACAGACATTGAATCCTGGCCAAAGGATGTGCATCAGATGTCCATCCAATGAACCAAAAAGATCCAGATCAACGAAGAAGCAGCCAGGCCACACTGAAAGCCCGATTTGGAGCTGCATTGATTCGCTCAGGATGACAAGATCATCAAGAGAAGTCAGGAGACTGGTGAGACTGCCCCTTGACATCCCTTGACTCATTTTGCGACACAGACTTTGATCAGAATCTAGTGCGGCAGGAACATAGGGAAACAAAAATAAACAAAACAATATAGATAGGGAGATAAATAGAGATCTTAATAGATCTTAGTAAATAGGAAGTTCAACAGGGGGACAACTAGGGAGATGATTCCTGCTTCAGTGCAGATCAAAATCTGTTGGGTTCATTGTGAAGCTCAGATCCTGAGGCAGAGGAGTTGGCCCGAAGGCGAGGCACTAGTGGTATGACACACAGTGCCATTGTGTTCATTGAGCAGTCCAGTTTTCCAACAAATTTGTTGCCTTGGCAAAGTTCACCATGACCAAATCATTCATTGATGTACAATCATGGAAAATGACCTTGGAAAATGCACTGTGCACACTTTGCATTGTTGTGGCAGCATTGTTGTGACATCGTCGCAATCCTAACAGCTCCCAACAGCTCCCAACAGCTCCAAACTCAAACATCGTACGGTTTGTGGAGCTCTTGAGCCAGGATGGAAGAAGAGATGGCTCGGGATGCAAAAAGTGAGCCACTCCCAGCTTGGTTCGATTGGACAATCCATTTGATTGCGAACCCATACAACATATACAACTACTATCAACTACTTAGTGTACGTAAATGATCTTGGTTGCTGTTTTCGCCAGACGTCTGAAGAGGCGACTGTGAACGACTGTGACATACAGTGCCTACGAACAACTTCACATGGGAGGAGCAGACAATAGACTCATCAGACCTGTTTTTTTCCCCAGAGTCCACTCAATCAGTGAGCATGTCCTTTGCCAATTCCCAGTTGGGAAGTGTGGGTCGTTGGCTTTCCCACCTCACTTTTCAGGCTTGGGCTGCACATCGCCAGACTTTGAACCGTCACTTGGAGCAAGAGAACAGCTACCAGGGACCCTTGAAGTCGAAATCGGAAAGGCTGGTACAACAGGATGGTTCGTTTTGAAGCGACGGTGCTTCCAACTCGTAGTTTAAGAGGCAATGCGCAACACAAAGTGGCCCCAAAAAGACCCGCCAGTCACCGAGCACATGGACCATGGACCTGCCAGACCTTGTGGGAACGTGGGGCCGATGTTTTGACCCCAGGAGAGTCTCTGAATCGATCGAAGAGATCACTAGCATGGTTGGCTTGGGCACCCAGTCATAGCTGAGTTGAAGTAGCTGAGTTGAAGTAGCCAAGCGAAGCCAAGCGAAGCCAAGCGAAGCCAAGCGAAGCCAAGCGAAGCCATTGTTGCAGTAGTTATCAGTAGTTGCAGTACAATTCCTTTGCAAAGTGGTTCATAGCGGTTCCAAAGGAGACAGATGGAGACAGTATGATTTGCGTATCCAACCTGCGCGATTTCTCCGAGAAACGCTTGTGAAGAAGGACTTCGCATATGCTGGCAAGGCACCGCGATGCAATTTCCTGATGTGTTCACATTTTTGAAATTTGGATTAGCGTGACGTGTTTTGGATCCCATGCAAATTAAGGTGAGGGCTGAGAAGTATTGGCATTGCCCAACAACGACCCAACAACGACACTTCGTTTGTCAGGGCGATGTGTACTTCCGAGTGCGACGCTTTGAGACCTACGGGCGGCTATCCAGGAGGGGCTCAATAAATTGCAGCGCTGATGGAGCGTGGTTGAATCTTTCTTGTAGCAAAGGTTCTTTCACTGCAGGTTTTGAGCAAATTATATAGATAGAAACAAGTCAGGGGTGTTTATGGTGAAATGTAGATGGTCAGTCTGCGATAGGATTCTAGTTTTTTTTTTCATTGCCTCAGATTGACTTGTAGCAATGTGAACTGCGAAGCAAACTCGTCCTCTCTTTCCGGTGTTTTCTTTTACCATTTGAAATGGGTGTGTGCGTTCAAATATTTTTGCTGTACCTGTTAAGACGATCCCAAGTCTTCAAAGTCAAGTGACAAACAAGGCAACTTTGTCTTTCCAAAGGGTTTAAGTCATCTGTTGCCACTGGCTGTGACCTTGATTGGAGGTGTAGCTTGGATGGTAATGAAGCTGGTGCACGCGTCGAGGCAGTCGGGGTGGGATTTGTTTCAGCTGATAGACAAATAAATAAGAGTAATACGGTGGGCCACAAAGTACAGAGTCAGTGAATGTAACAGATGTATGAAAATTCAAGTCATTCAAGCCCCATGCAAAAGTGTTGCAAGAGCGAATATGCTTCAACTGGGCGGTTTGCCTCATGCCTTATCCGAATTGTTGCATATTTGTTTCTACTTGTCCTGCTCTCACAGCTGTCCTGGATGGCATCCTGGGTATATTTGGATCATATTTCCGCATCATTTTCACATTTGGATCATCCACTGCACAGGTGGCTGACGTCAAAGAGGCCCCGGAGGATTTCGTGCTGTGGAAGTCTGCAAAGCCTTCAGAGCCTTCCTGGGAGTCACCATGGGGGCCTGGGAGCCAAGCCACACAGAAAGGTAGCCTTTGCTATAGCCGCTATAGCAGTATAATACCGTATAGCCAAGTTATGACGAATTAGGAAGAATTAGGATACATCGATTCCCACTATAGGGGGAGAAATCATAAAATATATAAATATATATATATATAATATTGATATATATTGATAATGCATAGAATTAGAACTGAGACACTTTTTCTTGAGCTGGTCACAGGCCATGACATCGTGTGTTACAATGTCCACATAATGTGTTCGTGTGAGGCCTGGTCGACCTGGATGGCACATTGAATGCAGCGCCTGACTCTCAGCTTTGAGGCGTCGATTAGCGTCGATCCAAAGTCTGGGAAACTGAAAAAAATCTGAGCTTTGCGAAAGACAGGGATGACAGGTGAGAGTCTCTGAGAGAATGCAAAACTTTCAAAAACATTCGTAGACTCAGAATCTTATGAATCTTGCTTGCTTTGGGATTTTTTTAGGCGATGGCAAAGCGCTACCTTGGCGATACTCTGGACATCCACGGCGGAGGGTTGGGAAACCAAGAGGACTTGGCAGATTTGGCTGCCTTGAGCCGCTGCCGCTACGACACTTGCGGCTCCAAGGCCGGATCTGGTTTTCCCGCATCATGAAAATGAAATCGCACAAAGTCCATATCTCAGAGCTGTCTGAGCTTTCGAGAATGTGATGAATGTGCTGAATGGATGTCGGATGTGTGTCGGATCAGATCGCGGATGTAGCTTTGAGGCGAAGCAGCCAATGACCAGCCATATGTCAAAACGTGGATGCATTGTGCGGCTGTGTTGGGAGCCACAGCGCATGTGAACGGCTGCACCCGGGTGCACCAAGACTTTGCTGGGACTGTTCACACTTGCACATTTACTTTACAGGTAATCCATGCGCAAGTGTGAACAGTCCTGGGAGCGTAAAATTCGAGAGCTTGACTGGAATTGAAGCTCCTGCGGAGACGCCTTGCCAGAGTTGAGCAAGCTTCAAAATTCTGAAGGAACTTTGACAACATGTTTGTGAGCAAGTTGCAAAACGTGTTGCAAACGGTACAATAGGATTGAGATTTATTAAGATGATGTAATTAAATGTAATTAAAGCATATTAAAAAGCATATTGAAGCTGTGTATACATGTAATACATTGTACATGTTTCTTTTAATGGAAGTTCTTCGCTTGGCTTCCCAAGGCGAAGCACTGGCAACGAGAAGATGTCAAAATCATTGGGAAACTTCGTGGGTGCCCACAGCGTCACAGTGCTAGCGCAAGGTGTAGAGTCTCCAGAATTCTTCAGATAGTCTGTAGAGAATCTGTAGAATCTGTAGAGTGTTTGGCAGTTTTTGGTGTTTGTTTCGTGTTTGATTTGTTTAAATCGTGCGAGAGTCAGCTTGTGGTACTTTGGCTACTTAATCCTACTTTTTACATCTTTTACCGTGATTCATTACATAGCTGAGTTAGCTTTGAGAGTCTAGGAGCATGCACTTTGTAACGGATTGATGCTGCTCAGCTGTCAGCTCCACATGAGCGAAGGATGCGAAACGGAAAGTCATGGCAATGGCCCGCATTGGACAGTTCTTGTGTTTTGAACCTCCGAACAGAACATAAGACAAATCAAGCGATCAAGACACTATGTAACAGTGTAACACATTGCTCTCCAGCAAGGATCGTGGAAGATGTGGAGTGTCGCCCAGGTCACCATCAGAGATGTGCTCAAGCAGTACGATGGAGAGGCGCAGACTGTGATGTGTGTTCCAAGGTGACTTTATCTTTCATGATGCTTCATGTTTCACACGCGTTTTTTGATACCTAGACTCAGAATCTTCGGATATAGTTTCATCATGTTTCATCATGTTGAATCTATTAGATTAATACATACTAATACAATGATTGGCTGATCCTTCAAAAACCATTGATATCAAGCTTCTCTTGTGTCCTGGCGGCATCGCCAGTAGCCAAGTCGCTGGGTCCTGAAGTCCCGGAGGATTGCTATGATTTGGTGTAAGTTTGTACTGTAATTATGTCTATAAATATTTGATAATATTTGGGTATGTATTATATTATATATATATATATCAATATCACTATCAATATCTATATATATAATATATAGTCGTCATATTAGATTAGGGTATGTTGCATTTTGATACACTATGAAGGCATTCTTGTGAGATTCACCACACATTGGCATAGAAGATCATGCTAGTTCCGGCACCCTGCACACTTTCAAACTCAGCAAAGTACCAGAACGACAAGAATTTACCAGACATTTACGGCCGTAAACCATGATAAGATCATTGAATCATTACCGAATCAGTATCATGGTGTATGGAGGTGTATCAAGTCCTTAACGTCTTGGCGTTTCGGCAGGTGGTGCGGTTCTACCTCTTGAGCTCCCAGTATCGAAGGCTACTGCAGTGCATAGAGCAACTACTTGGCCTACTTTCAGTTGATGTAACTGCAATTTGAAGTGGAACAAGTGGAACGCCTACTTTGCGGTAGTTACTCAAGCAACGTAGCTAATTACTGTGTTTCAGGACACAGAACACCAAATCCAATTTGGACTTTTGGTGCAAAGTGGATGCATTTGGACATTTCTAGATTGCATGGACATCTTGGACCACACAAAGACATCACATAAGAGAGTTGTCAATGACATGAGTTTGGAGATAAAGGTCCGTGGTGCACGGGAAAAGCGTTTGCAACTCGACAACGGTCATAAAATTGTATCATGTTATTATCATATTGTTACGATGTTGTTATCTGATGATTTTGGTGTTCTATTGATAATCATTTATATGATATTATATTTATATATTGCATTTAAGTTCATGAAAAATACCTCAAGGCACCAGCCGTATGTGGAAGATTGTGGAAACGTGGGAAGACTACAGAATTTTGTTGCTAAAAAACGTGGGAGTCTGTTTCCTGCGCGCTCTTAAAAGCTTTGCTGAACCGCAAGAGTCTCCTGGGGGCGATGCTGCCAATTGCGTTGCATTACCCAATTTTGTCAGTTGGTGTCATGGTGAGAATAACTTTCCTCTTTGTTGCCAGCACATTGCATTGGTAAAGGTAGATTTCATGTTTTTAAGCTACCTTGCAGCTAACCTGTGAAATATGTATGTAATGTAATGTAATGTAATGTAATGTAATGTAATGTAATGCAATGCAATGCAATGCAATGTAATGTATGTATGCATACCATATATAGACGTGTTGTTGTGTCCCTTCTTTTGTATGACGTGAGCGCAGGCCTATGATGTATTCGGAAGAAGCCTTGGAAGAGGTGCCAAGATGCCCATGGAAACACCATAGTAGCTATAGATAGCTATAGATAGCTATAGATAGCTATAGATAGCTATAGATAGCTATAGATAGCTATAGATAGCTATAGATAGCTATAGCATGTTTAGATGTGGTCGTTTTTCTTATTTCTTGGGTCAGATTGGAGGCGCAGGAGCGTCTGCTGAAGCTCTACAGTTCACTGCGGGGAGCCGCCGGAGCGCAGACGGAGTCGCCTGGGCCTCGACTTGACTTTCGACTGAGAAGAGGCGAAGACTGCGAAGACGAAAAAATCCAACATATTAAAAAAAAATAAAAGACGTGTCTTGCTGACTGCAACGCTATGTCAAACAGTTTTTGAGACTTGGCAATTGCTTGGACACTCTTGGAACCTGGTTGATTTGAGAAGTAGCTCAATCCGGTGGTTCGGTGGTTTGCGCGTTGCAGAATCAACATGGATCAAAATGGATGCACCATGGGCATGCACTCCAGGCCAGACCCTGAGTGCGAGCCACGAAGCCTAGTCCCATCACGAGAGTGGCATTCTGGCATGGGTAGGATATGGTAGGATGATGTACTGTGGAATACTATGGAATACTATGGGTCAGGCTGCAAAATACAGACACCTCGGGCTGCTGGGGATAGAAATGGGACGTACTAAGTGGCTTGAAGGCCAGCAAGTGGTGTGCGAAACTTGGTTTCTGAACTACTGTAACGCTAAGGTTTCCTCATTTTGTTCATAGAATCGTGGAATCTGTAATAATCAGAATTTCAGAAGTTTTCAAGTACGCTACCGCACCCTACCCCACTGACAGACAGCTCGACTTGCCAAAAAACTCTGTGCAAGCATTGTCCTGTTGTCGCCTAGATGTTACTGGATGAGGCAGCAGCACCGCTTTTTGGCCGCCATGGCAAATGCGTCTTGGCATGCCAAGGGGTCATATATGGGTCATACCGGTATGAGTCATATGCCCAGTGAATTCTGACCGCCTTCAGGATACGAATCTCTTGAATCGACCCACGGATCACATGCGGAAGCGCATCGCGAAAGCAGCATGACAGAGATCAGATAGAAGTGTCGGTTGTGGAGCGGGCAGAACATACTGTTCTGCCCATGCTTACAACGCTTACCCACAAAGATGTTTGACTAGTGTCCAGATGTTTCTTTGATAGAAAAGTTATGAAACGCTACTTGGATCACTCAGATCACTTAGATCTTTTCCAGGAAAACACTGAAGTATTTGAAGTCTTAGGATTTCGACACTGTGAACGCAATCGCAGCAGGGAATCCAAGACGCCGCTTGCGTTGCGGAGGTCCCACCTGGACTGTCAGAGTTTTTTGTGAGTTTTAATGCACCGTATTCGAGTTTGAGAGTTTTTTCAATGACTCTAGTGATGATGTGTTCTGTGTAGAACTATGTAGAACTCTTTCCCATATCCAATCACATAGAATTATGATGAATTATGTGCAGAAATCATCAGAAATCAACAGTCATTCCATCTCATAGATCCACAATGATCCACAGGTAACAGATACGATAACTGATTGTGTCAAGATATTTCCAACATTTGTCAACTACATGAGCCCTGGGCAGCCCAGGCTCTGACAGACTTGTCCAGAGAGCTGCTGCAGCTTCAGCAGGGTTCGTCGGGCGATGTGAGAATGTTGGCTATGGATGTGATTGTTGCAATGTAGGCAATGTAGGCATTCTATGATTTCTATACATTTCTATACATTTCTATGTTATTGATTTCATTGTGCATTTTTCATTTCATTTCATACACACAATGCGGCATATGATGTCGCACATGTAGGAAATGTCAGTGCGTGAATGTCGGTCCTCAACTGTTCTCATTGCATTCTCTCACTCTCTTCGTACTCTCTTCGAGTTCGGATTTGTCAAATTTTGTCAACACACCGTGGGCAACGCTTCACTTTGGTTCACCTGCTCGCACTGGGCGCACTGGGCGCACTGGGTAGGTGATCATGGTGCCGAGTTCCAGACCAAAGCAAGGCCACGGGGTGCCATCGAAAGTATCGAAAGGAATCAGTGCTTCCATAGGGTACCGGGTGGTTTCAATTGCTGTACAAACTCTTTTCCAGCTGATTCAGACTGATTCAGACTGATTTGCACAAACTCGTTTTATGATTTGTCATGCCTTTGAGGCAACTGCGCGCCATGGGAGCAGTTCTTGGGATTTTGCAGCAACTTGGTGCATAGAGAACTCTTATGGGGTGACGAGTCGACGAGGGCTTAAGATCTCAAAGCTAGACTTTAACGACACTGGCAAAGTGTTTCCATGTACTTTATGCCAATGCTGGCACCTACTTGGTCGACTTTGGCAAAATGGCTTAGTCATGCCTAGTCATGACTAGTCCATCCTTCAGCTTGTTCATGCTTTTTTGCTCTTTCATGCGCTTTCACCTTAGTTGACAGTTCAGGTTCTCTGTGACTTTCTGCAGATTGTCTCCAGGTTCTCTCCTGTCTTTGCACAAGAAAGCACAGCATCCACAGCCATCCACAGTGCCTTCAGAAACTTCACCGAGGCGAGATCCCGAGGAGGTCTGCAAAGGCCCTGTGGATTCCGACTTCGAGGCAGACAGAAACAAGAAACGCACGAGACACATGAGAAACAAATAGAAACAAGAGATAAGAAGAACAAGTGGGTTGGATTTTTTGTCGAGATAAGAATAATCCAACATTGATTTCTGTTGAGATAACAAGGGATCCTTAAATTCCTCAAAGGAACAATTGTTGAACAGTTGTTGAAATATGTGCAGTTCTTGAGACGCGATGAGACTTGAAATTTGTTGGATGTATCTTATGTATCCCCCGGTTCAGAACGGTGCCACAGTATTTTCTCATCTTGGCCTACCAGCCAGGCAAAGGTGGAGGATCTGATCCAGGCTTGGTTTGAGACGACTTCAGCGACAGAATGACATGTGATGCAGAGACCAAACCGATGCTCTTTGAAGATATTGTATGCTAACTCAGCTAGCATTTCTACATATTTCCACAATGCCCCACTTGATGCGTTAAGCATAGCAACCGAGGATGCCACTGTTTGTTCAACGTGTGTGACTTGTTTTTTCAATTTGTGCAATCGTTTTTTCGGAAAGCCACTGCCCAAATGGTGGAGCTCATTGCGTTGCCGCGTTGCCAGGCTCGTGCCGATGCGCGGAAAGCCAAGGACTTTACCAAAGCCGACGCCATCCGAGACGAGCTCACAGGCACAGCTGGCCACAGCTGGCCACAGCTGGCCACAGCCGGCCACAGCTGGCCACAGCCGGCCACCACGGGTTTTTCAAGTATCTTCCGAGAAAGATCAAAAAAGTCTGCGAAGGCCTTTGAGACTTTGCAAGATACGTGAGTTTCTTCTAAGCAAAGAATGGAATTGAGAATCGGCAGCCTGATTCATCTTGATTCAGCTTGATTCACCTCCTTCATGCGATTGTTGGTTCTGATTCTGTTGATTCTGCTATGTAGACAAGCTCTCCAGTGTGCAGGCATGGGCGTAGTTATCGAAGACGGTGCTAAAGGCGTGAGTTTTTTCGATGTGGATTCTGGTGTGCCATCGGGGGATGGTCAGATGTTCATCATACCCCACTAGGGATTCTGGAGATTCTGGATTCATCATGATTCATCATGATTCATCATGATTCATCATGATTCATCATGATTCGGATTCCTGATAGGATGACCAATGGATGACCATCCATCCATCCATCCATCCATCCATCCATCCATCCATCCATCCATATTTCATATACCAATCCATCCATCCATATTTCATATACCAATCCATCCATCCATATTTCATATACCAATCCATCCATCCATATTTCATATACCAATCCATCCATCCATATTTCATATAGCATCATATACCATGCTTTGACCTTGGCACATGTAACACACTTTGCTATCCCGAAACAGATCACCGAGATTTGCCCATCAGAACTCTTGTTATTTCGAGTACGAGAGCTTTGTCCAGGAACCTCCTGGCGTGTAGCCTCATTGGCCTGAGAGAAGACAAGAGCCATCAAGAACCAAAAAATGAGTGGATTCCAACTGAAACATGCTGGGTTTCATGCTGCTTATGCTGCTTGGGTTTGATGAGCTGTGCTGCATGTGTTGTGAAAGGAGATCCCGCCAAAAACATCCAATTGGTCAACGGGAAAAGATCCGAAAGGAATGTCTTAGCAACTCTCATTTTAGCAGATATTCTGTCCCAAAAACCCTTTCTCGAAATGTATGCCCTGAGGAGAATAGTGGTGATAGGACGCAAGACTTACGGTACAACAACCAAGTCCTCGTGCACACCCTATAGCGCGCTTGCCATGGTACATAGAACCTGGATGCTGTTGTGAAATTCCTTGGTGTTTTTTTACTGTGGCGTAGACAAACTGAAAATTGACGTCTAAAGGCAAAAGATGCCCTGTGACATTTGGATACGTTTCATGATACATTTGGTTGTTCTGCGGAAGCCTTCCCAACTTAACAGCATGATACAGCATGGCAGTGTTTCACATTGGATCTTCTGGAGCCATTTTTGGTCAAGTGGCGCAAGTTGTGCTCGGTTTGCTCCCCTCCAAATGCCGGAACGAGATGTGGAGAAGCCCTTCCTGTTGTTCATGCCTCTTGGCCAGTCTTGGCCTCCATACCTCAAGCAGGAATCAAGCACAGAGGAGATTCACTCACCCAATATCAGTTGTGTGGGCGCTTCAACGTGCCCTACAACAACTATCGTCAACATAATGAACTATTGGTTCCCTTACAATATCCTTCCTATACTCTCAACGATACCCGTCGTTGAAGATATTTTTTGTATGTTATCGGATAGATAGAACAATATCTATATGTACAATATACATATATACAGGTACTATTGGATATCATATGATATCAGCTAATATCTATGAGCTAATACCATCTAATACCTATCCAATAGCGTTTAAAAAAGACCTGTTTCTTCGTTCGGAGGTTCTTCATCTCTGCCAGCTTCACCTACGGCGCCCTCTTGGTCTTTCCGCTGTACCAAGCCCTCGCGGCCTCCAAGGGGCAAGAGGAGGCACCAAGAAACCACGTTAGAAACCTATAGTGGTAACATGTGGTAACTGTGGTAAGCAAAATGAGTCATCAAAAATATAGTATCATATTAGATCATATTAGCCAATTCAATAGCAAAATTGGCAATTTAAATTAAATGTATAAAGCAATATGCTATAAAAACATATGGGTGCAAGTCAAAATATAAGGTCCGGAACAAGGTCCGGGACCACACCCGTTCCATACCCCCGTTCCATACCCCCGTTCCATACCTGTTTGAAGGATCCGTTCCATACCTCTGTTCCATACCTCTGATCCATACATTATGATATATATATATATATATACACATACATATATATATATGTATTTTAACATGTGCAGTCTGATTTTACATTTGTACGCACATACTTGAGCACATACATACATGAGTGTGTACATGCAAAAATACGTTTACTATGCCCAAGCCCTGTGATTGTGATGGTAGGGATGTGCTTGGGTGCTGCCAGCTGGCAGTCTACGAATGGATTGCTTGTAACCCTCCCTCCCTCTCAACCTGTGGCAGGTTTGCGCCTGCACCATTTACAGTTGCTGCCCGCTGTGGCACAGCTGTGATGTTTGATGGTAGAGATGCGCTTGGCTGTTGCCAGCTGGCAGTCTAAGAATTGCTTGCTGCGCTACTCTCGCTCCAAACTGCCAATTTTGATAAAGATGTGCTGCTGTGCTGGAGTGGGCCGTTTCGTTCCATACCGTTCCATACCCGTTCCAGACCCGGACCACCCATGTACCACCCCTGACCCACTTCCGGGTGAACAAATGGCAGGTTCTCACATAAACTGCTCCTAAGCCATCCTTTGCGCCTGGGTTATAGTTATGGGAGCCTAGAGTCTTTCTACGCGGGGACACAATCTACCCCATAGGGACCTCTGAGTTTTAAGAGGAGGAGATCTCAAGCTGAGTGGACAGCTTCACATAGTAGCCAATGGGTGACCCTGGCTGCCGGCTGTGTCCTAGCTAGTGCACGAGCACTAGCCATGCAAGGCAAACCTGCGTTGAACAGGTGTACAACAAGGATGCCGCGCAGATGAGAAGTGAAAATGAGCGGCAGCCAGCGTGAGTAGCTTCAACGTGCAAATCCTTGAGATGTATATTATATACAAGTATACAGCATACATATATATATATATATTTATTGATGTATAGCCTATATTTCTCACATTCCAAAGGTCCGGATCAAGACCAGTTACGAAGCCCCTTCGTTCCATACGTCCGGAACAGCGCGGAACGCTCCATACACAATTTTGATTCACAGCCATATAAAGACATGACAAGAAACAAAATATACATCCAACTACAATGAAGTACGTTGAGGTACAATGAGGCCATTCAATCAGGTACATCTAGATACAGGCTCAAGGACTCCACCTTAGGCAGCAACAAAGCGCCTTGTCGTCTCAGCGACAAGGGATGTCAATGATGTCAATGATGTCAATAGAATTTCATATATTTCATGACATTTTCAGGGCCTTTCTGCTCATGAGCTGGCCGTTAAACAAGTGGTGTCAATTTGTTAGCCGCTGTGTCTCCACATGGTCACTACGTCCTGGTGCACTAAAAGGTCTTGCTTGGAAGAAATGTAGAAGCACAAAATAGAATCATGTAGGACAGAAAGCAACGGACTTTGTGGGTCCAAGATGGTCCAAGCAGTCGACATCTGTTGCATTGGGCTCAAATAGCTTGGACATTCTTCATAGGAAACGCTAGGAAACTGGTCTAGGAAAGTGGTCTAGGAGCAGTCTAGGACAGAACCCCAATTTTGGGCGAAGTCCGCATCTTGATTCACAGTTGGAATCACTGCATAGCAAATTTCATTGTCCAGGCCCAGGCAAATTTCAGTGTCCGTTCACCCTGAAATTCAGAGTTGGTGCCAGTTGCTTAAACAGGTCTGAGGAAACAGACATGATTTCCATGGATTTATGGATTTCCATTCAGAAATGTACAACAATGATCAATAATGGACATCAACGCACGACGCACTGGGGATATCTGGGGATGAAATCTAAGACTCAAAACTGTTAAGACCTGGTCACTGCCATGCAGGTTGACAGCGCGCAAGGGGGCATCATTTTGATGTGCTCTTGGCAACAATGGGATCGGGCTTAAATTTGCCTTCTGTGTTTAATGTGTTGATGCAGGAGAATCGATTCCCATGATTTAGGACGACGTTAGTCCGGTGTCAGGTGGTGATTCTGCTCAGCTCCACAGAAGAAACGACCGGTACAGTTGACAATTTCCTCAATATGTTTTCCACCATAGTTGATCAACGTGCATGGGAAATCGCCAGTGTCTCTGAGGGTGGCAAAGTATTTGTCGATCCTGACGCACAATCTCTTGAGCCGTTGCTGGAAAAGCCTTCGAGGGCTGCAATTACAAGTTTCCTGCAGCTTGGTTCGCAACATGCCTACCATGATCCTACCATGCCTACCATGATCCTACCATGCCTTCACAAAGTTGATCCAATTCTGCTGTTGTGACGTTGTGACACATTTGACGCGTTTGACATCAATGTCCAGATGCCGAAAAAATCACTGGTTGTAGTTGGCTATAGTTCAGCAGGAAGTCAAGGAAAAAGACTGTCTATTTGTCGAACTGTAAAGCATGTTTGCTTTGTTATCTTGGAAGGTGCACGGTCCATCAATGTCTAGCATCACTTCTTTCAAATTTGCTGTGCTGCTGAAGGTTTGATTCAACAGAAAGTCTGTCACCCCCGAAACCAAAGACATTTACAAAACAAACAAATAGAAAGAGAAAGAGAAGAGAACGCAGAGACACCAAGTACCCTGTCATTTGTCAGTCAACTCGTTTTCCGAATGCACGTTTCTTCAGGCTACCTCATATTCTCAGCTGTGTGCTTGTGTGTTGCTGCTTCACCTGTCGTGCCAGAGGTGCATGCAGTATGCAGTCCCAAGACCTTTTCATACCTTTTCCATGTCAATTTCAGTTGAGAAGAAATATTAGAAGAGGCATTCAGCTCGCAATTTTCATTCCAGACATGATAATCATGATCATTGATGGATTCGCATGCACAGAGCTTCTTGTTTCTTCCAAGTTGACATTTTTTTACGCTGAATCTCCTCGACATGCAGGCAGGCACATTGATTGCAGTGTCCTCCTTGTACTTCACAAACTCTAATGTCATCGCTGGCCCTTTGTGGCCAGTGCCTTCAGAAGAGCGCAGCAAGATCCGGATGCTTTTCTACTATGCTTGCTGTCCTGCGGGATGCTTATGGACAGAGTCGATCACAGAGTTCTTCAATGTCCTTAAAATGTCAATGGTTTTCAAGAGCAACTTCCAACCCGGACCAGAAGACGTAAGACGTGGACAGAAGAAATAACAGTATAATACAATATAATATATATATATATATGTATGTATATATAATATAATATAATATAATATAAAATAATATAATATAATATAATTTAATTTAATATAATATAATTTAATTTAATATAATATAATATAGTATAGTATAATACAATATATTATAATATAATATATAATATATAATATATAGTATATAATATATAATATATAATATATAATATATAATATATAATATATAATATAATAATATAATAATATAATAATATAATATAATATAATATAATATAATATTATACAATACAATACAGTACAATACAACATATTGTATAATATTATGATCTAATACAATATAATACAATATAATATAATATACTATAATATAATATAATATATATGGTATTATATTATAAAATGTAATATAATGTATAATAATGTAATACAAGATAATATAACATCATAATATGTTATAATATATCATAATATAATATAACATAATATCATACAACATAATATAATATCACATAATATAATATATAATATTATATGATATGACATGATATGACATGATATGACATTATATGATATGACATGATATGATACACACATATATATATATACACATGGAAAGAATGGATCAATTGCTTGCTTGAGCTTCAAGTGTTTCTGCCTGCCCAAGCCCTGTGCACGTGAATGCGGTCATTCTAATAAATATAGTTATATATATATATAATTCCAAATTTGACTTGGAACATATTCTTCTCTCTTTGCTCATCTCGGCTTCTTCAGGCTGTAGCTTTCTCCCACTAGCATGATGGGGAGGGAGAGAGAGAGGTGCCCCCAGAACGAGAGCACAGAAGACCATCACACAAGCAAATATTGCAATATTGAGCCTCCAACTTAAATCATGACCAAGCATGAATCCCTGGAGCCTTCTGCCAATAGTGTATCCTGTTTTGCCCTTCGGCAGGACAGCATTAGCATCCATGTGCCTTGCAAGGGAGGACTGCCGTAGCGGTGCATCATTCATGGGTGTATGGCTATGGGATGCTATGGGATGCTATGGGATTGTGTGTCAATCGCGTGGCGATTGCAGCTTGATGCAGTTTGAGACTTGGAGGAATACCACAGCAATTGGGGCCTTCGAACTGCTGTGATTGTTCTACCCCTCCTGGTGACTCTCCTCAGCTTCTTGGAGAGCATAGGAGACAGCACTGATGCAATTTATGGCAACTTTCAGGGTGAACATGAAACAAATTTATTCCACAGTGACAAAGTGCAATCCCGAGCAAAGGCTGCAAAGGGGGTTGATTTGTTTTGAGTCAGAGTATTCGCAGGCCAAAAACAATTCACTAGAGGCCTTTGAACATGGTAGAGAGCACAAGCACAATAAGTGAAAGAAGGACTGCTACAATATCAAGATGTATTCTGGTATTCTGGATTAGCAGAATGTAGAGAGCTGTGCAAAGAACGTTTTGTGATTTGTTCATTGTTTTTGTTCGAAACCTCTCCCATTCTGAAGTCAATGGATCAGACTTCCTTCCATCTGGAAACTCTTAGTAAGATACAAAGCACAAACACAGAGTTGGCTGTACAGTGGCACTGCATTGGCTGGGTCATGCTGGGTCTGTAAGTGGGTCGGGGTGTGGTAGCTATGGCATTGCCTTCAGGTTGTCTTGAAGGAGTGAAGAGCTTTTGGATTTAGGCCGTTTTAGGCTGTTTTAGGCAGTTTTAGGGTTGTATCACATGTTGTGTGAAAACTGCTACATGATGTCACCTCAAGGCTGGTTGATGCTGCCTGCGGAGGGGTTCTGGACTGCGGAGCGAATGCGTCAGAAGCAGCTGCTGGGCGGATCTGAGAAGGGCCGAAGGGGGTCCTCGGAGAGCGGTCACTGGAGGTGTGCAGGTGTGCAGATGTGCAGCAGGTGTACAGCTGTAGTCCCAGCTGGTTTTGATCCCGTTTTCATCGTTTTCACGTCAAAGAGCCATTGCATTGCGAAGTGACAGTTCTTCAGCATTTCACATTCATGCTTTGGTAGAGCAATGAGGCTAGAGAAGGAGGAAGAAATGGCAGAGGAGCAGCGACAATTGGAAGAGAAGAAGCGGCAAAAGGAACAAAAGAAGCAGCAGAAAAGGCCGCCACTTGTTTGGAGTTCTCAGGACGCTAAGCATATCTAAGCACCCAAAAGCATCAAAACATGTAGATCATCGTATTGTGAAGATTCAATGCCATTGCCAAGAATTTGCATAGACCTATATAAAACATTATAATACTCATAAAATTTGGTTGTCTCATGGGATTCGTATTCGGGTGCTGGATTCCAGGCGTCATACCAAACTGTCCGAACTGTGGTTTGGGGGCTGCGTCGCAGCAACTTAGCCTCACCAAGAACAGTGGCCGAATCAAAATAGATTATTCAAACACTACAATTCAAGAAAATCCTTAAGATCGTCATTTCTCTTGTGAAGATTTTGTGCCCGTGGGAATACATGACTAGAATGCATTTTATCTTATTCCCAGGGCCTGTATTTTGATAGACGATTCTGCGGACTATTGTCTACCCATTAAATGTACTAAATCTTTGGAACATTTTAGGATTGTCGAATCTTCCGCTACTTTCCCCATGAATTGACAATGAATCACAAAATGAATCACAAGATATCACAAGAAAAAAAGGACCATGTTTTAATGACAAGTCACTGTCAGATTATGTCAGATTGCTGAAACGTCTCTCCCAAAGTATGGGCTGCCCATAAACCTTGCAATTTACACGACCATGGGAAAACCAGCATGTGTATTCCGTGCTTATTTGGAATGTTCCCTTGTTGCAATACATTTTAACTTGTTTTGCTTAAGCTGCTGCTTTTGGTAGAAATTAATCAAAGTTGATTCAACACAGACATTGGATGACGTCGCAGCATTTTGTTCTAAATCCAGCCACCAAGTCCCATCAAACAAGTCTCGCGTACATTCTTTTCGTTCAATATTCATCAATATCTGTGTTCTTGAGCGGTACAAAATCAAGGCGGGTGACTGCAATGCCACCCTTTTCCCCAACATGTTAAAGTGCATAAAACGCTGTGTTTCAAACAAATAACATGATTTCAAGAGATCGACTTTTTCGATTTTTCCCAATGCAATAATGCATTTCACCTTGGGAATGCAGCTTCAATGCGTTCCAGATTCTGCAAATTACCTTAGAATCTTAGAAACAGAGCTCCAACATTCCTTTTATCCATCATGTTATTCGAAGCACTATCGGAGCAGGTTTCACGCGAGGCAGCTATTTGGTCAAATTCAAACCCTCGTTTGGCTCCACCCATCCAACAAGATTTTACGGGGTAAACCCACCGGGTACTAAAATCAACACGTCGGTGTGCCCATGAAGTACTCCCTGTGTCAGGCTTAATGTGATTTAGCTGGGCTCAGGAAAATTGAAGAGGACGATTTTGGAGAGGAGAAAAAGACTGAACCTGCAGAAGCAGCTCAAAACAAGGCTCCAGTTGCCAGATTCGAATCTTTGCAAAGGTGCTACTAAGCTGCTAAGTGCTACGAGGCATTTGACATTGTTTGCCCTTGGTCTTGCTGGGGAATGGGGGAAGTTTGTTTTAGCAAGACTGACTACTCTGTCATGTTGGTAAACCTGATATGAAAGAAAAGCATCGGTTGGCTACAGCAGTTTTCGCCGCAGCCGTCTCTTACTTTAGCCCCCAACGGACAAACCGGTGTGGGTGAGGTAATGACTGCAATGACTACAATGAGTATGGCTGCAGTGGCAACGAGTGAGGGGAAAGACCGTGATGGAGGACTTTGTGTACCAGTCCCAAAGGCAGTTCCCGTTCCACGATTTGCAATGCAAAAGATGCATGAACTGGGCCGCTGCATCCCCTGCCGTTTCTTTTCATTCAAGGATGATGGTTGTTACAAAGGCAATGCGTGTGAATTCTGTCATCTTTGCAGTGGAGAAGATGCGTTGAAGCGTTCCAAACGAGCCCATATTGCACGGAAGAAACAGGAAGATGCCGTGCAGAGAAAGCTCACAAGGGATGCCTTCACGACGAAGCCGTCACCGACCTTGACTGCCTCGACTGGACTCAGCTTTTGGCTGTAGCGCCAAGAGCGCCAAGAGCGCCAAGAGCGCCAAGAGCTCCCGGCAGTTCCATCAACATTGGTGCAACGCACGCTGCAACGGTCCCATGGTCCCATCATGGTGCGAGCGGCAGCATTTCTTCGCTGTAATTCGTGGCTGTAATTCATGAGGTCGAATCGTAGTCCCTGCGTCTGGGGTTGGAAAAACCTCTTGACTCTCATAACCATGGATGTTCTGAAGTGGATTCTGGGCCTACAAAGCCCAAAAGAATACCTCCAAGATCAGTCTTTTGAAATTTGGAAGGTGTGGATCCTATTTTGGTGGTTTGAATTCTTATGGTTATGGCTGAGAGTCTCAATAGATACCATTCACATGGCTGCATTTCACGATGACAGGCAAGCCTTAGTCTAGCGGTTCTCGTCGTGTTCCCTTGGGTGGCAACAGATAAAGAATCTTAATAGACTTTCTGAAGAACTTGTCTTGAAGCATTTTGAACCCAAGTGCCAAATTGCGTTCACTGTTTGTATTCTGAAAAATGTGAAAGTCTCACAGGATTTCACTGTTGATTTAACGTTGATTTCTGTTGTCACTCACTTGGCAGAGCAACAGAGCGCATGGTGGCCGCTCCGGCGGTGTCAACCCATGGCAGGTTTTCAAATCTCGATTTTGGGCGAATTATAGGTGACTTATAGGTGACTGATAGGTGACTTATGGGTGACTGATGTAAGGTATGGACCGGGGTATGGATGACAAATCTGGGCTTCCCGAGGGTATTCCCCCAGCGATGCTACTGTATGGGAGATTGCCACAGGAGTGACCCAAAGGGTGGACAAGACTGCTGACAAGTGTGCAGCTATTCCGTAGGAAAGCAAATCTCGGTATTTCTTCATGCTCTGGACTCTGTACTATTGCCATGATTGCCTTTACACTCCACGTAATCAGCAGATCATACCAGAAACCAGAAGGAACTAGCACAGTGTTCTTACCGTCCAAATGTGTAAGCTACCAGAACTACTCACACTACATAGCGCGCACCAGACTCATATCAGCCCACATCCAGATGAAGACTGCTGTGGCCCGCTGTGGAGCATCATGTACAGTTGAAAAGCATGGATTTGGATCTCTGTTCGAAATCTACAGCGAATTCACGGTGCAGTGGCAGCGAGTACACAGTTTGCTGCATCAGAGTGCACAAGGCACTTCCCGGACAGCTCTAGTCTGCATCATGCAGTAGATGATCTGTCTCCAAATGAGGAGATCATAACTTTGTGGAACCTTCAAAGCGGTGACGAGAGACGAATGGAGAAATGTCTTGGCTAAGAAGTTTGGTTACATTCGGTTACAATCTGAGACCTCTAGGATTCTATTTCTGCCCAAGGGGTGCTCGCAACACGCAATCTCACCAGGTACGAATAGCTCCTACGATACTCATCTGATTCATCTCTGTTTGCTCTCATTTGAGAAGCTCCTCCATGATGTCAAGATTCTGCAGGTTGAAAAGACTGAATACCATGCTGAAGCAAAATCAAAGGATGCAAAGGACGATGCAAAGGACGATGCAAAGGACGATGCAAAGGACGATGCAAAGGACGGAAAGAATATGAACGAAGCATGAGACAGTGAATATAGTGAGCGCCAGTTTGGACGAGCAGTTATTCTACAGAATTATCGATGGTAGAGACATGTGAAGATAAACGACATCTATCACTGCATCATGATCATTATTGATCATTATTGACCTTAATTAAAATCATGATGGATCTTCCAGCGCAAAATCCAGTGCCCGTGAAATGTTGCAGAGTGAATTGGAAACCACCAGATGTCACCAGTCTGAGGACAGCATTGAAACAAAGCCCAGCCACTCGGCTGTTTGGAGGTCATGGCAAAGTGTGGGTCCATGGTTGGATACTCTGGGCCTCTCTGGGGTCGGCCCGGGGTCCCATCTGAAGGTCTGGGTGTGGTCTATGAAGCGCCTCCACGACCTCCAGAAGTTGAAAGTCCAAAAAGTCCACAGTCAGGTGCTGCCCTTGCCATTGGGCCATTGGGCCATTGGGTCGAGGGTGAAGGCTGTGAAGATCTGTGAAGATCTGTGGAGATTTGAATAGCGGGCATCGCGAATCCTTTGGCGTTTTGATGCGTTTTGTGTCTAGTGCAATTCCAGAGTTTCAGATCGGATTTCCAGCCTTCGAAATACGAAAGCCCGTTCATTGTTTCATTGTTTGCATTGATATTCTCTCTCTTGTCCCAGTTATCAAAGGAGCCCTGATTCTGATATTATCTGATATTGTATGTGCTTGCTCTTGTCAGAGTGTGAGGAACTGGGAAACCAAAACTGATTGAGCGTTTTAAATGCTAAATAAATCTGTTTTCAGTTTTACTATGTTTTACTTGTTTTTACTTTTTTACATTCACGAGTCATGACCGTCATGAACCTCATTGCTCATAGTGCTCCTCATCGCCCGTCAAACTGTGTATCCTGGACAGCGAGGTAAAGCTTCGCCAGCTCCTCCTGATGTTGGCAATCTGTCTCCCCTCACAGGCGGTGCCGATGTCAACAGTTTCAGTAGAGTCAGTAGAGCAAATCATCGACTCAAGAAGCAACAAATGATACGTATAAATATCATTAAATATGGATATAATACATGCCTTGTCTTGAAACTTGTATTGCAATTGCCTTGTCGTACTGAAATCAAGGCGACGGAACTGCGTGCCTTTAATTTCATGCCTGATCACAAAGGACTTTCAATTTTGGTCCTGGTCCTTTGCAGGCTGTGGAGTCAACGTACAAAAAAAAGAACCCATCATTTAGACCCATGTATCGTTCATGTAGCTGAGTTGACAATAGTTGACACATGGCAACCCTGTCAAACTTACAAGCGACGTCCTCGATGTTTTTGTTTGAGCTGGGGGACCACTGGGGGATCGAGGAATATCGAAGATACTTCACAAGCCAGATCTTGCAGCTTGGGATGCTCCAAAAATCCCTGATTTTCCCTTTTCTACCTCCTTTCGCATGGTCGGTTCATGGTTGCCGGACGCTGGCAGGTCTTTTTAAACAAACCGCGAGAATGTCCGTTCTACCACCACCTCTTGAAGGACTTCTTGATCAACACGTTGAACATGTAGCACTCACCACTTGTTTTGAGTCCCGTGAAGGGAGTTCTGAAGCATGTGAGTGTTTTGGAATGCTTAAATGAAGAAAATGAAGCACAAAGCATCACAATTTCATGAATTTCGGGCAATGATTAAGGATATATTAAGATTATTAAGGATGATGAAGGAATCCAATAAAGATAATAAAGGAACACATAGCTGACAGCGGACGAGGATTCCACGTGCCAGGACTCCCTGCACTTCCGCGCCTCAGCGCTGCAGCCCGCGCCAGCCAACGACGGACGCGACGCCATTCACAGTCACGACGGAGCTCACGGCAGTCCCGGCAGTCCCGATTGTCCGTTCTTCGGCACATATCCTACAGGATGCTACAGGATGCTACAAGTAGATGGTACAAGTAGATGGTGGGAAGAGATGGGAAGACAATCTCCATTTCCCTCCACTGTAGAACAATTCACGAACTCGCAAGAGCTCTTGGTGTTTCATCCAAGAATCCGTTTGCTGCAAATTACACACTACTACTTAGCTAGGTTCAACACTAATGTAGATGATTGTAAGGGTGGTCAGGATTGTTGGGTATGTACGGCGCACGGTGGTACGGACGCTAGGCACGTGTGGTTTTCTTGGTACTATTTGGCACGGACGATTGGTACGACTGGCACGGATGTGATACTCTATTAATATTACATTACCCGTGGGTAGTATGCATGATTCAAGGATCATTCGCCCTTTATCGAATCAGTACTTCCATGATTCAATGATATTCTTTTGTCATCGTTTGATGTTTTCCTCTGTGCTCATCGTCATGTACACTTCATGGATGATTCTTCTATACCAGCTGTGGGTATCCACGATAGGCATGATGTCTATGTCGTATGGGAGTCATGTTTTTTTTTCATGTTTTTTTCATTTTCCCTTCTGGATTTTCGTGCATGTTCTGCAAATCTCATTTGGTCTGCTGCGAGGCAAGCAGTCGAGAATCCAGACCAACACGGCGCCGTAGCACCATGGAACAGGTGAAAGAAACTTTCAAGGACCGCAAGACGGTGATCACACGGAAGCTTATGCAAAAACAGGACCACGGACAAGCAATATCTTTGAAACATGTAACGGTGTAACGCATCATGGAAATCATGTATAATTGCATCTAATTACTCACACGTAAATCATTAAAAAAGATGTTGAATTCCTTGGAAGCTATTGCAAGATTATGCAAGATTGCTTGATGGGGGGGCTTGACAGATTGGTTCAGTGGAAGAGCCAAGAGGATCCAGATATTATCCAGATGTCCAAAGATTGCTGACGGAAGTGTAGGTTTTGAAGTAATTTTGCCAAGTATTTGATGGTGATCACTGTGAATCCTCTCGAGCTACATTGTGTCAACCTGGTCAATCGTTTTCAGCCCAACTTCATCAGGGCTGAAATTGAAACTCTGAAATGAAAGACAATACAACGGTCACGAGGACTAACCTTGACCAGAAGTGAACGGCTAGAAGCGAACCCAGAATTTTGACGGTGATACATTGCGATGCCCATGACTGTCTCAGGAAGCTGAACCTCATGCTCAACCGATTTGATTAATTTGATTCGTTTGATTGTTGTGGATGTGCCAAGGATGAGCTTCTACACGCCTTTGAACCCCGTCTTGCAACGCGAGCTCGGAAGTATCTCAGCGGATCGCGCATCGGTGTTCCCCGGAGTTTTTGAAGGTTTCGACGAACTCATCGAGGCACATGACACAGATACAGTTTGTTAAGTTTGTGAAATGTTTGTCAAATGCTGCTTTAAAAAAAAAACATGTTTCACCATGTTTGATCTGGTGCAGAATCTTGTGGGTTTGCAGCAAATGATTTGGCACATGCTTACATGCATTGCAGGAGGGCCCCGCACACAACCCCTGGCGCAACTGTCGCTTTCGTGTGCTGGTTGGAACGCAGTGCGCATCGCTCTACTGTGTCACATTCTGGGGCAGCTCGGCAGACTGTTCAGATGTTTCACGAGTTTCACGAACAACAAAACAGTTTAAAGAGGGCACTTGTAGAATGCCATGGAATGCCTTCAAATTCTTGGGAAGGCTAAGCGGGTTTGATTCGCCGCAATCTTTGGTTCTAATGCCAAACGATGGGCTTTGTTCGCCTGCAACTGTTGGGGAAGCCACAAAAAGGAACCCAGGCGCTTTCACAAAAAGGAATGTTTGGATATGTTTGGAGAGGGGATGGACAGAGAAGCAGGGCCCCTGCTTAATCTACACATTTGGCTACATTTGGCTACATTACCGAAAGGTGAGTAATCAGAGAGGGGATGCCCTTGAGAATTTCCCTTTGTTCGGAATCTGCATTTTACATCATCTTACGTAAAGATTTTATGACTGAAATGATATGAACTGCGCCATTCGGAACTCTCCTATCTACATCTATCTACCATCTCGAAGTTGCTGGCAGCACGGCCGATGTCAGATCTCAGTGCGCGTTTGACTTTTGCCGCGGTTGGACGGGAAATCCGTCTTGCCAGGGCTTCGTTGGGCTTCAGGCTTTATACTTGATTTCGTCGGGTAGACTATTTCTCCTGATATATAATTAATACTATGTATAATTATAAATATATAATATGCATATATATATAACTAATATATATATATATGATATTATAAGATACACATATATATATAATATATATATACATATACAGCAACTATCCTCTGAATATCTTTAGAGAAGCTCAGGTCTTTGGAATCGTTTGCTGTCAAAGTCTTGCCATGTCTTGCCATGGCTTAGAAGCTGCAAAGATTGGTGGACGTTGTCAGCGCGCCACTACGCTTCAAATGACATGTGCTGGTGATATGTTTCTGTTTTCCAAGGTTTTCCAAGGCTGATGTCGGACAAGACAACAAAGCACAGCATCAAGACATGTCACGACGCTCCGTCTCGGAGTTCACAGCCTGTGCACATCATCCAGGATCATCCAGGAAGCTGCTGAGAATTGCACTTCTGCTTCCATTTGCAACCGCATTGGCAACATTTGGCAAGCGCATCTGCTTACCTCTGCGAGTGTAGTCATTGCGGTCCTTGCAGATCCCTGCAGTCGTGTTGGTGTAAACTCCCGGTGGTTTGCAAGACTTCGTGCTGTGAAGACTTTCCTGGAAAATTTAGCTGCAGAATACTACTGAGGCCTATTCAATAGATTCCGATTTCTAGTAGTGATTTGAGTATAGTGTGGAGTGGCCACGCTTTGCTGTGCTTTACGGACTTTACTGGAACAGAAGATGCAGTGATGAGGTGCTGAACACTGTGCAAAACTTGATGTTGAAGCATGTCGAAGCGGGTGACAGTTGTGACAGGGCGATAGGGGGCACTCAGCTTCGGCAGGTCGAAATGCTTCATGATGAACTGATCGTGGTTTCATGTGGTTTCTCATGTACCTATCCTACTCCTATCTCCTCCCGCTCAGTACTTAGGGAGTGAAATGCTAACTCCACCATGACTCGGAACATCTCGGAACTCTAGACTCTACACCATGTTATCCGATGAAGACATGTACAGGTCACAGAAACTATACCTCCAAGAATCTGGGAATATGTTTTTTTTTGACTTGGACAGTTGGTTCAAGTTGGCCCAATTCATACCCTCTACTGGTATGGCTTTCAAGAAAACCTGCTGCGCGTGAAGGCTGTGTTTTTTGCCCCCGGGTGGTGGGTGTCAGATATGGTCCGGTGTGAGTGGGTGGTCTGTGACGTGACAGGTGTGAGTCTTATTGTTTCTTACATTCTGGCTCGTTCCACTCTTTGCAACCATTCTAAAATTCTGCTGATGTCAGCTGCAGCTAGCTTCATTGCCCTTGCTTTGGTAATTTTGACATGTTTTGACTTTATTTCACAGATCATGCTGCCTGTTTTCTGTGCGGATCTGTGCCCGTTTGTGTTTGCCTCCAAGGCTACAGTGTATTTCCCATGCTGATCAGCGAGCAGGGCCCATCTTTGGAGCTTATCAGTTTTCTGTATTCTTTGGAAGGAGCCGCTCAGGCACGGCGTGCAGGGGTAAAAAACATGGTCCCACTATGTGTTTTTTTATGGTCTGAAAATGGTCATTTTTATGGGAACGGTGATAGACCAGCAATGATTTTTGGGTCTCCAATTCAAGCAGTCGTATGCCATGCGGCCATGCGTATGCCATTGTCACATCGTCCAGGTACTTTGCACGGTCTTGATCATGCCCTTCCTGGACACGCGGATGTTTCTGAAATATTTTTCAACGGCCTTCCTTTTGCTCCTGAGCGCTCCAATCACCGTTTGCTTACTTGGGAAGATCCATTGGGCGCTTCGGCCTGGCCAAATCCTTCCTGTCCTATCTCACATCACCTCACATAACGAGGTACAAGAGTATGTACAATATCGTACAATATCGTACAATAATGATTGGATATAGATTCTGAATTTCAGCGGGTACCTTTCTGATAGTTCCTCATTTGTTAAATCATTTCTTTGACTTTCTTAGCTACTTCACATTTCCTGACGGAGGGATTGGACAATTTGAGTGTGAAAAAGATTGAAAAAGCATGCACCTCAAGACTAAATCATGACAGCATATGACAGCACCAAGTTCTTCTACTTGCTCTGTTTGCTCATGGTGGACGTCCTGCTGTGCGTTTGCAATGCGCTTCTCAGTGTGGTGGTGTTGCGTAGCCTTCCCTGGGATCAGATTCCAAGCTGAAATTGGTCGAGTACTCCGTTTCAGCCATTCACACATTGCCCATTCTCCCGACACCTTTCAGAGAGAGAGACAGAGAGGGAGAGGTTGAGAGGTTTTGATATGTTTTGATAATTTTGGAAAGATCATTACGTATAGTCTCGTATAGTAACATTAGTAACAGTTGTTGTATCATGTTGTACCCCATTTGGAGCTTTCTGCAGTGAGGATCATGACCTTCTACAACATCGCCTGCACGCAAATCAGCTGATTTTGGGCGATGGTGCTGTCTTTTGATTCTTTTTGGTCAGATGTTGGTCAGATGTTGGTCAGATGTTGGTCAGATGTTGGTCAGATGTTGGTAATTGTTGTTAATTGGACTACAAAATCCCGGCATCAAAAGATCAACAGGTTAGTGTTCAACACCTTGGCCGAAAGCCAGAGCTTCTGAATCAGGAACGGAAAGAAAGTGGGCAATTCCTTTGGCACACAGCCGATAGAATTCTAGTGAATTAATGTCAGTTCATGTCAGTTCCGTTGTCAAGGTTGGGTGGAGTCTTGTCCGGGACCTCCTTCGTGTACCTCGGTACCAGAACGCCAAACCTGACGCAACGGTCCTGTCGGGGCCAGGGACAGATATGGTCAAAGTCAACAAAATGCTGGGGAAAACAAGACAAACAAGCTGTTTCTTTTCTTTCTGAGGACTATGAGGACTTGTTTCTGGAACAAAAAGTACTGTGAAGTCCTGTCTCTGAGGCAAATGCCACTGAAGGCGATGGTCGGAAGCTGGGAATTGGCGTCTGTGATTGGTCATGGCATCCCTTTCCTTTTGCTGCCACTTGACTCAATCCAGCTATTTTACAAACCCTGAGATTGGCAACTTCAGTGCTTCAGATAGTCTCAGACCTTGTAGACTGTGGAGCGATCATCAAAGTTCCAATTTTCCCAGTTTCGCACAACGGATGTGATGTTTTGTATATATTTGTCAAGTCCACATCTGCCGAGAGGTTTGTGCTGATCTTATTGCTCTTAGGCTCCTGCTTTATGTCACGCACATCCAAACGATGCGCGAATTGTGGGATCTTCTGCGGGAACCCGTGCGGCGGACCGAGTTGGGCGATTGGGACCCAGAGGACTTAGAGGAGCCGAGAAAACAGCCGAGATCAGCCGAGACAACTCACGTGGTGGTCGTATGATGTATGACATGGCAATAACATAAAAAACAATGTAGTAATATGTAGTGATATGACAAGGGAGCACAACAAAAGTCGTACTGTGATAATTGTGATATAATTGTGATATGTGCTTGTTATATCTGGTTATCAGTTGTCCCTTGGCCAAAACAAAGCTTCACAGCATGTCACGCATTCCAGGACGATGAACTGGAAGAGAACCTGGAAGAAGGTCCAGAAAGACGTCCTTCCGTAAGTGAAGAAGGTGAAGGTCAAGACGGTTGGCGAGAGCCTCCTTCACTACTCACAGCTGACAATGCTGACAAAGCCAAGGCTTGAACGGAAGAAGGGTCGAGCTTCAGACGGATGCCGATGTTCAAATCCGAGCATGTGTGATCCATGAATCTGAGCATGTTCCTGTAAACTATGCAATGCTTAAAGTTGAAAATTATTGTAGAAGGTGAAGTGCAGTTTTCCATTTGCCATACTGACAACAAAGACTCAAGATGAAACGATGAAAGATTGACTGCCCACAATATTCCACACTGATCATTCCAAAAGATGCGGTCTTGCAAGGCAACAGTTGTCACATTGGTTTGCCACAAAGAATGTATTGCTTTATGGTTTGCACGTGTAGTGCTTAGTGTATTGCTGTCTGATCTGTCTGATCTGTCTGATCTGTCTGATCTGTCTGATCTGTCTGATCTGTCTGATCTGTCTGATCTGTCTGTATGCTGTGTCCGAGAAATAGCCGGAATCTGCGTGCAGGGAGATGCGCTGGAGTGAAAGTGAACACGTCGGACATCTCTCAGTATCTCAGTGCTGGTGCTTACCGAGCTACCGAGCTACCGAGCGCGAGTTTGTACAGGTAACATCTACATAAAACCAAATGACTGCGTGCAATGTGCAGCAGTTCTGCTCAAAATTGTACAGATGCAGCAAGAATTAGGCCAGCTTGGCAGATTTGGGAAGCGCATATTTGGAAGATTTTGGAAGGCACTAATGAGATTTAGCGTGTGAGCTGGACGAGCTGACTGTTGTTAAAAGGTGACTTGCTGTTGTGACTTCCGAAAGCGTCTGTGCGGAAGCTGGAGAAACTCCGAGAAACCGGTCTGAGAACAGACTTGTTTCTTTCAACGGTTTTGGCAGACTGCCGAGATTGTCGGCAGAAAAGCCCACTTTTCATGGAAAAACAACAATGGATGAGCATGGAGGGCTCAAAATCTGCTCATTTTGCTTTGTAGCATTTTGTCGCTATGTCTTCCCATGAAATCCTGAAATTCGTGCACGTTCTTGCGAGTCGCGCCATAGAGCGCTACTCGCCGTGTGAATTTAACTGCATTTGGCCAACGATGTCAATATGCGATCGAGAGAATCTGAATACCAAATGATTACCAATCTGTCAAAAAAGTTTGCCTCTGCAATTTGTGTTCCTCTGTCTTGGTCCCGCGTTTTTTTCCTTGAGTTCACCAAGGTTGCGGCTGTTTGATTATTTTGATTGGCTCACAACAGGCATGTCTTGTCTTGGTCAAGATCCTGTAGGCCAAAACTGTTCAAGGGTCAAAGTAAAAAGGCGGTATTTTCCACACCGAGACTTTGAGATTCAATAGGTTTTCTCGCAAGTTCCAAGCAATCAATAATCAAATGTGAGATCACACATGACCATTTCAATCACCCCTGGCAGCTTGCAGGAGTTTCACTTCATATCTTTAACCATTTGACAGAGATCCCATCACATTCCTTTGCATCCAATGAAAGTGTCAATGGGCAGCGCAAGATCTTATGGTCAAATGTTCGCTCGAGCCACTGCCTTGGTCTCCAGAAAGGTGACGAGGATGTGACGAGAGTTTGGTCAACATTCGCGGAAGTTTGGTCAAAGTATAAAAAAAGCTCAAAGTCATGGTCAAAGTCCTTGCCGAAAATCTCAAAAGTTGCTGAATTGCTGCACTTGAAACATCACTTCAGAATGACAATTTAAGCAAGAGGATTGATAGGACCCAAGGGACGACTTCCAAGATATTTGACGAGAAAGTCTGTGTAACATGTCCTTTTCATGGGAAGTCAGAATGCTCGGAGACATGCGCCAAGGTGGGAATACTTTTTATTCTTCTGACATGTTCTTCGTCAGCACCCCTTGATGCTCTCTTAGCAAGTGATGTACCCTTAACGACATCAGTCATGAACTTGCTGTGAAAGTGTCTTTGGTGATTGCTGCTCCACAGTGCACTTGGTTCTAGAGAGAGAAGCTTGGGAGACATGGGAGGACATTGTAATGGCACCTGTTGCGGGGTGTCTTGCAGTGGAGCTACTTTGTAGGCATGTAGCCTCCTTATTTTGTTCATCATATCTTTGATATGATTTGACGGTTCTTGAATGTTTCCTGACCTTTTTGTTTTGTTCGGGACTTTGGAGTTCCAGATAGTTCCAGGATTCCATACCATTTTTGTGAAGGAACTGCCTTTGTGAACTCAACACAGTAATCACAGTAGCTGCACTACTCCAAGCAGGGCAGAAAAAGGTAAAGTTACCTGCTATGAATCAAAATAGTGTCATCACTGGCAGGTAATTTCCCTCTTAAAGAGGTTTTTCCTGCTGTCAGTCCGCTCAGCCCAATGTCCGGCTGGCAGACTTGCTTCTTCACTGGAATGTATTGAACTTTGGAGCAACAATAGTGGAAAATCTATGCAAATCCGTGAAAATCCACCAGAATCCTTGCTCGCTGCTCAGGCTTTTGGTGTGCTACGGCACGTGGACCTTGGTTCAACGGCTGGTGTACACGGATCACAGACCTGGAGCAGGGCAGATGCTCGGGCGTTGGTTTGGGCGACATCCTGACAAAACGTGAGAATGTTTGACGAATCCGGACCTTACGAAACATATTACATCAATTTACATCATATTACTAAACATACTTCTACTGGACCAGTACTGGACCGTGTTGAGACACATTGAGACTATGTTGATTGACCCAAGGAACGCTGACTCTTATCCTTGGCTCATTTCAGAGCTCTGAGACCTGGTCTCAGGTGTGGCAAGATCGAAACATATCGAAACACATCGAAACACGTCAAAAAACATTTTAGATCTGAACGACTTCGGAAGTTTTCGGTCTCAAACATGTTTTGTGATGTTTTGTCAGGGTTTGCTGTGCAAATTTAGTCTCCAGGATTTTCCATGGTGTTCCTAGCGTTTCCAGGTATATGCAGCACTCCTCGTTAGCGAAAATGGCCACGTTCGCTCGGAGCAGGCAGACAGGGCAGCTAGGGTCCGACAGGAATTGTTGATGCTGCAGCGGTCAAATCCTACCGACTCATGATATCTCGTGGCGGCACGCACCTCATGGCGACATTTGACAATGGATTAAAGTGAGTTTGTTCATTGCATTCAGCGAAAGTCTGAACATGGCAGAGGGAACTGAAGACTTCAGTCGGGAATGCCGCTTTCAGGTTTTGCTGGATCCAGCTAATGCATCTTGACAGCAACTCCATAGTGAGAAAGTTTCATGATAGTTAACCTTTTGTGATTTGTCTCACCAATTATCATCAGGAGACATAATCCGTGCCACCTTGACTTGAAATATAGTTTGGCATATCTTGACATATCTTACCAGTAATACCGCACAAGGCGGTGGCGGAAGTTTCAAAGATAGGAAGCCTCTAGGAGAGGTGAGTTGTTGTGATCTATGGATGGCGGAGCGAACTGATTGACCGAAAGGTGGTTGACGCTCTGTCTGTTTGTTTGTATGTTTGTTTGCTTGGTTGTTTGGTTGGTTGGTTGGTTGGTTGGTTGGTTGTTTGTTTGGTTGTTTGGTTGTTTGTTT